AAGGGAGGGCCAACCCACCAGTTTATACAGGTCGCAGTGATGAGTGTGATAGGGTGCATTAGTGGCAAAACGGATGGCTGAATGATGGATTGTGTCAAGTTTTTTTAGAGCTGTGTTTGGTGCCACTCTTGTGTGTGTTAAACACAATCTACTTAATACAGACAACTTCATTATAAAGATAAATAACAAATCCAAAAAAATATATGATTATAATCTATGACAAAAAAAGCCATTACAAACTATATTAGTGGTAAATACACATTGCTCTTTGTATTGTTGTAAAATACATTCATGAAAAACAAGATAACAAAAATCAAAAAGATAAATTATTTTAGATAGAGCCATGGCTGCTATAAAATTGAGACAACATGTTTTAAATGTATAGCAGAGATGTTAAATGAGGCAGCAACATACAAACTTTCTAGAACAACATGGACCTGGATAGCTGGTTTTTATGGAGGACAGTGAAGAGGAAGAGGGTGCAAATCAAACAGCTCATTCTCAGACTACACAGCAAACAGCTTAAGTTTTTAGTGCTTTGTTTGAGGTTTTTAGTGCTCTGTCCTATCTTTTATCAACACATAATAGATAGAACAGAACAAGAAAGGCAATTAATAATCTGTCATTGCATTATGATATGAAAGGCTCAGTACAGTGTGGCACAAAACGCTTATGCGCATCCCGAGTGGAGAATGATGCGCTTAAAGCCACATGGAGTTACAGCGCACAGCGCATCGAGTCCGCATTGATGCAAGCTCTACAATACACTTCTTTTCGACAGTCAAAGTGGGGGTTACGTTTTTGCACGTCATACAGAATAACCCTAAAGGCACCAAGGTGGCGGTGCCACCGGCTTTATATTAAATATAAATATAGCTGTGAGCAGCGATAAAGGGCCAAAGCCGGCGGTACCACACCATCCCGGTGCCTTTAGGTAACTAAAGGCATCAGGGTTGCGGTGCCACCGGCTTGGGCCCGCAATCGCTGCTCGCAGCTATATTTATATTATATTATTATTTATACGACTATTCGGGCACTTTTGGGGCCCTTAACATGCTCAAAAACTCTTGAAACTTTGCACACGGGTCAGAACCCGCGGCCATCAGGGCCGGGCTGAAGATGGTACCCGGGCGTGGCAGGGGGGCTAGACAGCGCCCCCTGGAACGGGGTCCGAACACTTGGTCCATAAATCAAACACGCTTGCATGTAATAATATGAAACTCGGTACACATGTTGATCTCATCGTTTCATCTATACCTCGTGCTTTTACTTTTTACCCCAGCCCAACAGGAAGTCGGCTATTTAGGGTTGTTCGTAAAACACTCGCAATGGAATGTCAAATACTCCTCCTAGAGCTTTGATCCAAATTCGACGAAACTCAGTCAGCGTGAAGTCAAGACATTGAGGATGAAAGTTTGCGAGGGGATTTTTGATATCTCGAACGGTTTGTCCGTGGCGAGGAAACGAAATCATGGCGAGAAACGTGAAACAGGAAGTGTGTTATAACTTCAGCATACATTAACTGATCTTGATGAAACTTCAGCAGTGTGTTCGCTGTAAGAGGACGATCACATGGATGTGACTATTGTGAGTCAAAGTTATAGCGCCACCAACTGGCAGCAGGAAGTGTGTCACTTTAAAATGCTTTGAAATCACCCTCTTATTTTTACCCGATTTGCTTCAAACTTAATCTGTATAATGTAAATACATAGCAGATGAAGACCTGTGAATGGATTCTTGATATCTTTGATAACTGTTGCCGTGGCAACGCATCAAACTTTAAAATTCTTTTTTTGATGATTTGAGACTCTTAGCGCTTTTTGGGCCCTTAAACGGGTTTGAAAACTCTTGAAACTTTGCACACAGTTTAGATCCCACAGCCATCAGAGCCGGGCTGAAGATGGTACCTGGGCTGTGGCAGGGGGGCTAGACAGCGCCCCCTGGACGGGGTCCGAACACTTGGTCCATAAATCAACACACGCTTGAATGTAATAATATGAAACTCGGTACACATGTTGATCTCATCGTTTCATCTATACCTCACACTCTTACTTTTTACCCCAGCCAACAGGAAGTCGGCTATTGAGGTTTGTTTGTAAAACGCTCGCAATGGAATGTGCAATACTCCTCCTAGAGAATTCAAACACACGGCACGAAACTCGGTCAGCATGAAGTCAAGGCATTGAGGATGAAAGTTGCGAGGGGATTTTTGATATCTCGAACGGTTTGGCCGTGGCGAGGAAACGAAATTATGGGAGGAAACGTGAAACAGGAAGTGTGTTATAACTTCAGCATACATTAACTGATCTTGATGGAAACTTCAGCAGTGTGTTTCGCTGTAAGAGGACGATCACAGGATGTGACTATTGTGAGTCAAAGTTATAGCGCCACCAACTGGCAGCAGGAAGTGTGTCACTTTCAAATGCTTTGATATCACTCCTTTTATTTTTTACCCGATTTGCTTCAAACTTCATCTGTATAATGTAAACATAACGGCAGTGGACACGTGC